CCAACACATTTGGCATTTGTCACGGGTGTACAACCAGACTAACGCCTACTGTGCCCTCACAGAGCCCCCGTCTTGGTTCAAAGTGCCTACCGCGTCATCTGTTATAGAGACACTGCTCGTATGTAATGCATCAACCAATATACAGAGACAGAAAACTGCTCGGGGTTGGACAGCTGCAAAATGGGAATACGCTCTCTTCGTGTCGTCTAATATAGAAAGTTAAGCTGGAGTTTTTCAGAAGCACCACCATTTAGTGACCACTTACGCCCTTACATTCAAGCTAAAATACATAGATGGGTATAGGAGAGCACGGAATAACAAAAAGTATTTACTCGTAAGGTAAATATCAAATCGACAACTCGAAAAATAATTTTAGTAAACTCCTTTAATAAGAAAAAACATATAGACGGCTCTTATGTGGCGCTTCACCCCAGCGGATGCGAATCCTAATTGAGATATATTTCCGAACGAATTTGGATACGCCAATTCTTACTAACCAATTCCCAAAAATTTCACTGCTTATCAGGCTAATAATTCAAGCTTCGAGGAATATATTGCGGTGTAACGGTTCCGTCCGATTTGTTTATGCTACCCAAGGGCACATGAATATTTTCAAAGCAAGTGCGACACAAAGCGGAATCTATGTTTACCATCCTTTAGTCAACCCAATTACCTTAGGGCAGTGCATTATCAAGCCAGGGTGGGTGGCGTAAGCGAAACAAGGTCGAATTTTCCAACAAGAAGGTAGAGACAGCATTAAAAACACATATCGGGTAAAAGTGTAATACTCCAAAGCGAAAAAGATGATACATTTGCTCTTATTAATTAGACCTGCTTGCGATTTAGTTGGACTCACCGGCAACGTACTGGGTCAGGGCAAACATGCAACCAACAAATCCATCAAATACGCCTAATAATGTAAGGCGGCGTCGAGTAGTTCTCAACTCCTCTGGTCGGGCCTCAGCAGCTGCCTTGGTTGGTTCCGAAAAACTCACACCCGGATTTTCGGAAAACTCGGATTTAACCAACTCAGACGGAGACGAACTGGGATCGGCGGGGGTATTCGGTTTTTCTGCTTGGCCAGCAGCCAGATCGGAGAGCATGGTAAGGGCCTGGGGTTGAGCAGGCATAAGTCAGACTTGAGTGAAGGTATTATCATTGAATACTAACTAACTAACGTTTTCATAAAATGTTTTATGAAAAAGAAAATAAGTGTGAATTTCTTGATCAATCAGCTAGCTTTCGAACGAAATTTCATCTCTAGCAGGGGAAGAAGGCCTCAGAGGTGGCTTGTGTTGGAATTCAGTTAAGGCAAAGATGAACATCACAGCGTGCACTCGAATTTCATTGTCAACGCTCATCGTACCCTGCATGCCAAGGCAAGGGCCAACCGACTGGAAATGGGCGTGGGGCATTCGGACTGATGGGGCTGAAACCAGGTCTTCGCGCACCTCTCACACGCTGGTCAATATTTTCATTCGAAATTGGCTACCAACTCAGGCTATGACCACTTAACTAGGAGAATTCCTCTGAGAGCTTCACTAAGGAACTATTAAATTCTGCCCTACAGGTTTGGAAATGTCGACTTGCCCTGAAAGTTGGCGCGCTGTACTCTAGGCTTTGTGCGTACAGTGAAAGGGGTGAAGGTAAAGTTTGCTGTTGTGGTCTCCCAAAGCAAGCTTTTTGGAATTTGCTTAAGATGCATCCGTTTGTCCATAGTGGGGAGGCGTAGAAGGGGTTTCGAGGAGGATTGACCACACCGCCCTTCTGTCCCCGATGCAACGGTGGCAAGGTCAGAGTCATGCCAACCGGGTTCGAATGCTGGATTCTAGGTTGAAAACTTAGGTTCGGCAACCTGTATTGAAGTGCCAGTATTAGTTTGAAAGGGGAAAA